TTTCTTTCTTTCTTTCTTTCTTTCTTTCTTTCTTTCTTTCTTTCTGGCGGGACCGGGGATTGACCTCCGGCCCTTGCACTTGCCAGGGAAGCGCTTATTCCGCTGAGCCATCTCCCCGGCCCCCGTATTCTCTTTTCACTGCGTGATTTTCTCTGGTAACTGCCTTACTTTCACGCTTTTATATTTGCTCTGGCCCAGGCTTCGGGCATTTCTCTCTCTTTCGCAGAACTGGGTGAAGCCAGAGGGCCTCATCCGTGCTGGGCCACGCTGGACACCAAACCACATGCCCAGCCCGGAGTTTCCGTTTTACAAGTCTCTTCTGAGCGTGTGTTATTTTTTTGAAATAAGGAAACAATTCCAGGAATTCAGGGAAGCCCAGGCAGGGCCTGGTCCCGGGTGTAAAGCCAATCCGGCTGTCGGTAGGGCAGCGGGTCAGTCAGCAAATATTTATCCAGTGCCTAGTTAGTGCCCGGCGGGCACTGCGCGAACAGCAACTTCAAACAGGACGGCGGCCCCCGGGGAGGCCCTCGGAGGCCACAGGAGTCCACACCATGCAGCTGCGTCCCGAGGGCCCCGGGGACCCTAGGAGGAAAAGCTCATTGACAATAGGTGCGCAGGTAGCTGTTCAAATACAAGATCTCAGCCGCCAGAAATGGCACAAAACTAAAATGTCTTTCTCCTACATACTATTTTTATGTATTTTTATTTATTATTATTCTTTTAATGTATTTGGTTGTTACAGGGCCTCACTATGCAGCTTGGACTTGGGGTGATCTAAGCTCCCCAGCACTGGGATTAGAAGCGTGAGGGGCTGGTGCGGCATGTGGTGCCGAGGATCACACCACAGTCCCTGCACTTGTCTAAGCCTGCCTAAGCAGGGGCTGTAGTCCGCTGAGCTATCTCGCTGGCCCAGTACATACTATTTTTACAGAGAGAGAGAAAAAAATAAATGACAAGTAAATAACATAAGAAGTGCACCTAATAAAAATAAATTAAAATTTAAAAAAAATAATCAGTCTTCAGGTGGGGGCTGGGGAGATGGCTCAGTGGAATAAACACTTCCCTGGCAAGTGCAAGGGCCTGAGTTCAATCCCTGGTTCTGCCAAAAATAAAAATAAATTAAAATTTAAAAAAAGAAATGCACCTCCACTCAGAAGGCTGAGGCAGGGGCCGGGGATAGGTGGCACAAACTCTGGCCTGGCACACTTAAGGTCCTGAGTTCGATTCCTGGTACCCACCAAAAGAAAAGAAAGGAAGGAAGGAAGGAAGGAAGGAAGGAAGGAAGGAAGGAAGGAAGGAAGGAAGGAAGGGGAAGGGGAAGAGAATCACTGTACATTTGAGGTCAGTGTGGTCTATATAGTTCAAAACCTATACTACCTAGAGAGCCCCTATCTCAAGAAAAAGAAGAATTGAATTTACAAAAATTAGCTGATCTATGTTACTCTTTTTTGTCTTTCACAGTGCTGGAAATGGAACTCAGGACTTTGAAGCTCGCCAGGCAGGTGCTGGTGCCACTGAGCTACACCCTGGCCCTATAGTACTTTTTCTTTCTTTTTTTTTTTTTTTGCGGAACCAGGGATTGAACTCAGGCCCTTGTGCTTGCCAGGGAAGCGCTTATTCCACTGAGCCATCTCCCCGGCCCTATAGTACTTCCTCATAGTAATTGCTGAGGTGAGATACTGTCCCATTTTATTTATTTATTTTAGACAGGCTTTTGCTGTGTAGTTCAGGCTTTGTAGCCCAGGCTGGCCGGGAACTCACAAGAATCCTCCTGCTCAGCCTCCCGAGCGCTAGGACTACAGGCATGTGCCACCATGCCCAGCAAGCCCAGCTGT